TTTGTGTTTACTGAAGTCATGACTAAAACCTTGGGGGGAAGTTATTATCCTGAGAGTGATATGTAGGGCAGGTTGGAACAGAAGAGTTCCCTACTGAGTTAGGCAGGCTACCACTGGGGATAAACATCAATAAGACAATTTGTGTCACACAAACTTTCTGAAGAGAGCTTCATACATAACTCTTCTAAACTTTCTGTAGTCTAACCTCATCTAGCTGGAAGAATGTCATCTCCCTCCCCCACTTTATCAGAACCTGAAAGTTATGTGTGTGTTTATAAATCCATTGAGTAGGCATCTGTTGGTTGGTGTGTTATAGCCTGGAGCACCAAGGAAGGCCCACACTTCAGCTTGATCCTCAGATAAAGGTTCTAGAGTTGGGCCAAGGTCCATAGCATCTCCAGGAGACCAAGGTAGCTCTGAACCGATAACATGCTTCAAGAGTTATCCTGCTTTACAATGACTGTGTACCTCTGTTGCTCTTCACAGCCCGGGTTTTCAGAGAACTAAGAACACTGTCAAATGTTCATCAAATGCATCCTCCTTAAATGATAAATCACATCCCCACTCTTTCCTGGCCCAGAGTTGACCTCAGAAGGAAAGACTCAACCTTCCCAGGTACCAGCTTTCCCAGATTGTCTTCCTAAAGCAGAACCAGGCTCTTAGTATGCCTCTATCTACATTCTGCCTTGAGTTTGCACAACCATAAACTCTATTGCTGTAATGAGACACCATGACCAAAGAGTAAGTTGGGGAGGAAAGGGTGTATTTGGCTTGCACTTCAGCATTGCTGCTCATCACTGAAGGAAGTCAGGGCAGGAACTCAAACAGGGCAGGATCCTGGAATCAGGAGCTGATACAGAGACCACGGAGGGAAGCTGCTTATTGGTTTGCTTCCCATGACTTGCTCAGTCCACCTTCTTATAGAACCCAGAACCAGCAGCTCAGGGATGGCACCACCCAAGGGCTCGGCCCTCCTCAGTTGATCACTAAATGAGAAAATGCCTTACAGCTGGGCCCCATGGAGGCCTTTCCTCAGCTGAGTCTCCTTCCTCTGATGATGTTACCTTGTGTTAAGATGACACACAAAAACACCTAGTACAGTATCCAAGGAGCAAAAGAGACCTCACAGAATTTCTACTTCTACCAATGGATCCCAGAAGATGAGCAAGGGTAGCATGCACAGTGAGAGGGGCAGCTGTGAAGCTGAAGGGCCTCTGACACCTGCGAACACTGAGACAGTGGCATGCCATTCCGTGATCCGGAAAAGACAATAATAGCACACACAGAGACACGACAAGTTACCACATCTTGTGAAATGCTGGAATTATTTCATTCTGGTTGATCAATAGCCATAGAAGTAAGCATTCTAGAAATTTCACATGGAGACCAACTCTTTCCCTAGGCCACATGCTCTCCTCAAAATCCAACAGCAATAGACTTCATAACTGGTCCAGTTGGAGTTCACTTGGGACCTGCCCTGTAGTTTGTGGTAACCCAACGCCAGTGGTAGCTTACTACTCTAAATAACATCTCTGAACACCTTTATAGCAATTTGAGCAGAGGGGGCCTCGCCTTCCTCAGAATATGAAAACAAAATAATACAGAAAACAGGACATTCTAAGCTAGCAAAAGTACTTTCAGATTCCTGAAGAGCTATATCCAGAGATGTCATCATCCTGTCATGGTTGGGATACATCCTTTCCATCATTCAGTAGCCATATGTTCTGATCCCTTCTTTTTGCTTTATCCAGAGGTACCAGTCCTATCTCTCTGCCTCATTGTTGCCTAGCATTTGAAGTGACATGGTGATCCTAGCCATGGTATTCATCACTGAAATGTCTTCCATGTGCTGGCTTCATGAACAACAGTAGTTGATAAAGTCCTCTGTGACACCAAAGTTGGAGGTGGATGTTGCCTATTCCAGCAAATGTTCTGCCCACTGTGCTTTGAAATGATGGGAATGAGGTAGCAGACACAGTACCATAGATGGAAGTGCTCAGAATAAAAGACCCAGGTGTGTAATTGCAGGTAACTAATTCCACACACAGCGCACTCATAAGCCAGGCATAACCTCACTTTCTCCCTGCTTTAGAAAAAAAGGAAACCTCTTTGGATATGTAAAAAAGCAGAGATCCTGAGATCCACTACTGTTGTTTGTCTCAGGTCTTTGCATAAGTCAACCTCATGTTCAATATGTCTGTCCCATTGGCTGTCAGAGGAGTTAGTAGAATGGTTCTAGCTTCCTGAAAGGATTGTGGTGGGAAGCAGGCTTACAGGTGGAAGGAAAAGAGAATGCTGTGGGAAGTCAAGTTCTCTACAAAGATGTAAGTGACTATGAAATCCAGAAGGTCATAGAGAGTCCCTGGCAATGCACCCTCCTGAACCTCAGACTGGGAGCCCAGGAACTACATATGATGAAATGAATGCATTCCACTGAGAACAAGGTGTTGTACATATTAATAATTTGTTTTTAAGAACAGCATTTTCAAGTCTTTAGACACAGGAAGAAGATAAACACTGCCTTGTATTGTAGAGTGAATGCCAGATCACTAAAAGAATTCCTTTTCACTCACATATGCGTTTTATTTGATAAATAAATCTAAAAGTGATAATTGAGAGTTTCTCTAGCTACTCATTTAATGATGCAATAAAACTTATATCCTTCTTCAATGTCCTCCCCACCTCACCCCACCCACCCCATCTCCTGGCACAGGTTTCCTTCCTTTTTCTGTAGTGCCAGGAATTCAGCCCAGGGCCTGTGGCAAATGCTCTACCAGGGAGCCCCAGATCCAGCTGGGTCGGCTAACTTTCTCTGAGAGGCTGGGAGGTGAGGCTTTCCTGGAGATTCTTCTGTACTCCCCCTCTCCCCCTCCCCTCCCCCCCCACCGCCTTCTAAGGTTTCCTTGGGTGTCTATTCCCAATGACCTCCAGGGGCCTCTGGGTGAAATGGCCCACTCTGTGGTGTTCAGGTCTGTGAGCTTTGGAAATGCCTTTGCTGCTGTGTGAATTTAGTTCACTTCCTCCTCTGGGTCTCTGCTTTCTTCTCTTTCAAAGAAAAAAGGAAAAGAACAGCTCCAATGTGATGTTAGCAAGTCTCTCTCTGAGGAATCTCTAACTGAATACAATTCCCCTGCATCGGTGCGCTCTGGAGAAACACAGGTGGAATTAAAACCAATAGTTTTCATCACCAAAGAAGCTAACCCCTGGAGAAAAGGAAGTACTCATTAGTGGGATCCACTCTCCAGTCTCTGCCAAAGGTCACCACTTCCTGCCCAGGCTCTGCTCTCCTTCGGAGTCCTGAGATTAAAGCCCCGCTGTGTCCTTAAAAGTGAAGAGAGAAATCTGTCCTAAGTGCCCTGCCAGAAAGCGAGCTTTTTTTCTGGAACACCAGGAGGAAGCGCGACTGACCACCATCCTGTCAGCGCAGCTCTCAGACTTATGTGGGTTTTAGATACGGCTAAGCCCGAAACCTCCTCTGTGTGCCTGAAAAGTGTGGGTTGCCCAAGAACTTCCCAGCTTCCTTGGCTGCTGATCCGCGTCCCAGAGAGCAGCTGCTTCGTGTCTCTCTTGCCAGTTACTGAAGCAGTAACCATAGAGCAAAGGGACATATTAAAAGTGACAACTCCATCACTCCAGTTGCAGCCTTCTCCAAACTGTTTAATTCAGCGGCTTCTCCTGTCCCAGCTACCTCTCACATGAACTGGACTTGTGTTCTCTAAGCTCTAGCCTTCATTTTCTTGGTACTGCCTCAACATCTTTGACTTTTGTTGCAACTATTAAAAAGAAGGGGAAAAATCCCTCGCCCCACACAGTGTTTCTCATTGAGTGGTTGAGGGAGCTCTTGAGGTAGAGAGTTGAATAGTTTGGGCAATATGAAATTATAGCCAAGTTCAGGCTAAATACCTTCTAGAAGTAGCTGGGACTTGAGGAGCCACCCCCCACCCCAAGAGTCAACTAGCAAGCAATTCATTAGGTGATGTAAAATAGCTCTACACTCACTTCTCCCTTATACCCGATACTGTGCTTAAAATGCTAATACTTTAATTGAGGATGAAGAAGAATCGCAGTCACCTGCCCAGGATGTTGGCCATACAGGCCAAAAGATTTTCCTTTGACATCTTCCTACCGGGTCCTACTGTTAAGACGACAGTAATCAGTCTGTTAAATGCTGGGCATTCCTTCAGTTTCTATCAGAGAAAGGCAGTGAAGATTCTAGAAGGCCATCAAGCTCCTGAGTCTTTGCTGATACGACCATTTACAACACTGTTTCTGCCAGTAGTTGGCAAAGCCAGAGAAGAGAAGGGGGGGGGCTGTGTAGTGTCTTAAAATAGGCTCCTGGTGTCTTTTCTTCTGGGGCACTCGTCCAGTCCTGAGCTTGGAAGAAGCAACAGTTCCCAGTGTTCCTCGATAAACAAAATACTTACTCTGGGCAAATAAAAGGTACTGGCAGTGTCCAAGGAGCAAGCAGGACTTACTCTCATAGCAGCCCCCGGGGTGGGGAGCTGTGTGTAGGTGCATTCATTGTAGGATCGTATTTCCACCACTTCCTCCAGCCTGGTACTATGGAGAAAGCACCTCTCACCACACCATCAGCTTAAATTGTTGGATGCTGCCTAATGGCTGGAAAGGCAAGGGTAATGGACGTGCTCCCTGGGGATAGCTTCAGGTAAAGGAGAAGCAGAGGCTGCACTCCATGGAAAGACAGGGCTTAAAGCTTTTATTTTGTGTTCCTTAACACAATCCAAAAGTACTTTAATGTACAAAAGCATATATTAGTAACTATCAAATATTTTCTTTATAACTATTTCCTTCTTATTATATGACCTTGCAAGGACAAATATCCATAAAAGCAATTTTTAAGAAACATATCAGGTTTCCTTTATAAGTCAAGCCAACATCCTACTTTCTTTCTAATTTCAACCTTCCTAGAAAGCAAGCTTTAACCATTTCCCTTCAGAATTATCACTTCTTAGGGGTTTCAGAAATAATTCACAAATAAGTACAATAGGGAAAAATATTTATTTTCTAAAATCATTACCTTGACAGGCAAAACAAAGCATGTTCTCAATTTCATTCAGAAATACATTTTAAAAAAATACATAGACCAATATGGCCTGCCCAGACATATATTCAACATGGTAAATATAAGGAATAAATTGTTTGAATATAAATATCTATAAAAAAATAAGTACATCAAATTCAATCTAACCTTTTCCATTAGCCAGTTACATACAGGAACAAACTTTTACTGTTATATAGCACAACCAGCTCTCAAGATCTTTCACAAACAACTCTATGCCTTTCGTTATATCTCCCAAGGTCAAGGGCGGGGGCCGGAGTCCATCATCCTTTTTCTCATAGATCAGGGCTAGCAGATTAGCATGGAAATGTTTCATCTACTACTGACTGACACATTAGACTAGACTTCTATGAGGCGAGGATTCAGTATAGGGGATGGGGAGTCTGATAGCAGGAGAGGAGAGAGTATAGGGAGGCAATAATTAATGGTGGGGAATATATATGACAGTGCAGTAAGGTGAGGTAGACTCATATTCACAAAACACATCCTAATGTACAGTAGTAACAGTTGCTTTGAGTTTTGCATTTTACAACCTAAAAAAAAACCTTTGTCCTGTTTTTTCTTATTTTTTTAAGCTCAAGTGTTTGTCCTTTGAGTATGTTTTTAATTTGTGCATTCCTCAGAACATTTTTGCATGGACTTTGGAGTTTCTCCCTGAAATGTGCCAGGCGCCTGAGTCAGACACAAATACCCCCTAAGGACTTTCTGCAGAAACTCCACCCTGGTGTGGAATCTCCTTCCTCCCTGGACGATGCCAGCCTAGAATGTCATCACATCTCTGCTCTCTGAGAGGTCCACTGGCATTCCCAAACGGCGAGAAGGGGCGAAAAGCAGTCACTACCAGCAGAAGCAAATGAAGGCAGGTTAGGGAACATCTCAACCTCTCTTGGAATGTTTGGAACAAAGACACTGGCCCCCGCCAGTCTGAAGTGAGAAGTTGTAGAAGCAGGATGGGTGCTCTCGCTGAGAACCCAGCCAGCATGGAGAGTGCAGAGTTAGTTGGCCATGGACTTGCCCTATGGACTTGATGGCTTCCAAAGCACAGGGAAGTTCCATAGTCAGTGTGCTCGGTTGTGCACCAACTTCTGGTCTCTATAGAGATCAGCTTTCAACTTTGCAACACGAAAAGATGTCTTGATGCTATTGGTGATGGCCTCCAACCTATTAAAACAAGACAAGAAAAAATAAATGTTACTTAAACACACACACACACAAAGAAAGAAGAAATCATTTCTTGGCTTAGGAAACATCTAAATTTAGAATTTGGCACAAACACATTAATTCTAGCTCTTAGCCTTTTATAAGGTGTGACAGTGTGTTACTCTTTAATAAATCCTCAAGCAGTATCCTATAAGCACACCTAAGAGGAATCTGGCACTAAATACTATATTTGAATCTCTTCAACCTCTGCTTCTGTGGAGAAGTGGCACATTGGTACCTTCTAAATCACATAAGAAATGGAAATGGAAGTTAACGGTGGATGGAGAGAAGATTAAGGGAAATGGGTAGACCTGAGCGAATAGTTGATGACAGTTTAAAAAATGTGTAATATAGTGTGTGTGTGTGTGTGTTTATGAGAAAGAACAGATGAGGAACTGCCACACCAATGTAGTAGTTGATATCAGACAAAGTAACAAACTGGTACTGATCTTCAGGTAACTCAGTGGAGAGCAAACCCAAGGCGTCAGGTGTGACGGGCGCTAACTGTGGGTGTCCTGTGCAGGGGTGTCAGGTATGGAGGGAGCTAACTGTGGGTGTCCTGCGCAGGGGTGGCAGGTGTGGAGGGAGCTAACTGTGGGTGTCCAGTACAGGAGCAGTAACCAGTTCTACAGTCCCTCCCTGCTGCCACACTGGGGTCAGAACACTTTGGTCTCAGAACACCTTGCCCCTGGATTTCTTGGAGAAGCTTCTAGAGATAGGAGTATGTGACAAGTCTGAACAAGGGTCCCTTAATACCCGCATCTTCTCAGTTTCAAAAGTTTAGACTCTGGAAGGATCATCAAAAAGCTTCTTGTAGCCCCCCTGTGGGGTTGCCTAATCCAGCTCTCTCCTGTGTTACAGGAAGCAAGAGAAGTGGCAGGCTCTTCAGATTTCCACATTTAAACAATAGTAATGGAATAAACCTGAAAAACAGTATGTTCTAAATCTCACCAACCTTACCTAATGGCTTTATTTCCCTTTGGCCATTTGAATAATTAACTGCTACTTTTTGAATAACATATGTAGATATTTTAAATGTCTTTTCCTTGACCTGATTTTTTAGCTTCTAGAGGCAAGCAGAAAATAAAAGAACCAGAGAAGAAAAGCCTGAATATGCTCAAATGCCCTAGCTGCCTCTCAGTGTGGACGGTCCACCTATAGGCCAGTGTGTACTATGACACAGTGGGCAGGTGTCTGCACTCAAGGCCCAAATATTTGAGGAGCACTTTGCCCTTTTAAGTCCACAGACTGTGACAATTCAGTCCTGGACGGGAGCTTTCTTTCTCTAGGAAGGGCCAGGGAGGGTGGCATTAGCACTGCTGTCCAGGGCCAGCGGTCATCGTGAGCCTCTTACCTTCTTAGTTTTCTTCTTTCCACCAGCTGCTGATAGATGCACTTCTTGCCCAGCTTGGAACAGGCTTTTCTTTTCTTGAAGTCTTCTAAGCCTTTCTGCATGGTGTTTTGGGCTCTGTTAAGACACACAGGGAAAGCATTTTAGCAATGGTGTATTGAGGCTCACCTTGACTCTCCAGGACTCTGCTACGGTCTCTAAAGTGAAAAGGCAGTCTCATAGGAAGAAGGCCAGTGGGCTTCACAGCTCATTGACAGGTAGAGGGGCTTCCACTCACCTGAGTCCTTTTCCTGCTTGGCAGAAATTCCAGCACTTCTTGTCTTTTTGGTGAGCACACTGACACCTATTCCCATGGTCTGTGGCCTTTGGGGAAAGTAAGTCCTTCAGGGAACGCTTGGACCTGGAAGGGCTTCCCAGTCCATATGGAACAACACGCCTATTATAGAAAGACAGAAGGAAAAGATATTAGCCTAATTAATAGTCTTTATTATAATGATACATCCTTTAGTCATACAACTCAGACAGCATTGGGGCAGCTCATGATAGGAAAGCATGGAAGTTATTTGGCATGTTCGCCCATCAGTGACCCTCGGTGTATGTTCCCAAATGGAAGAACGAAAGCTTTTTGTTTTATCTACCTCAATGAAATTCTATCTCAATATTTAACAATATTCCATTTCTTCTAGACACAGTTTTGTTCCAAATTACAACACCTCTGTTTGGGCTTCTGCTTTGTGTTTTCTTCCTTTTCTAGCATGTATTATAGGTGGAGGGAGGAAAACTGAGGGACTGAAGCAAAACCATCACACAAGATTTTCTCCTTCAGTCATGTGTGACCATAATGCCAGTGACACTGCCTGGTGGAGTAAGCCATACTGGAACAATGCTCCTCAAGTTTGGTAAAATCGGATGAGTATGAAGGACTCAGCGCCAAAATGCTACCCAATCCCTTGTAATGAGTCCACTCCAGTTCTCACAGCAAGGAATGCAGCCCTCTCCTTGGTAGAACCACAGCTAAAGATTAGGTCCACAGTGGTGCGGGTCTGGTTTGGTTTGGAATTTGGCCAGCCATTGCAGACAGAATAAATGTGTTTGTTCTTTCTTAGGATTGCTTCTGATGAGTAGACTAGTGTCGGGGATGAGGATGAAACAGCCTTGCTTCACGCAAAAGGTGGAAGGGAAGCCTATGGCTAGTGCTCCTATCTCTGCCTTAAAATGAGCTTTCTAAAGACAAGGAGAGAAGCTGGAAGCTCGGGACTCTGCTCTACCCCTGCTACCAGCTCGTTTCTTCATGTGGGACTTCAACGTTTTGTTTCTTAGTTTTTCCATAAGTAAAACAAAAGCATTCTAACTCCCTATTACACCACCCCTTCTCTCCTCTGGAATAGATGGCGATGTGCCCCTTGGAGAAGTAAAGGGTGAACTAGCCTACACAGGACCTGAACTATTTGGCCCCGAAAACCCAAGTGAGAGCCTCCTGCTAAGTCCCTCTATTCCTTCCTTGCTTTGAAATGCACAACACATCCCTGCTTGTCCTCAGCCCCTTCCCTCTGTTCCACAGAAAGCAGCCTGTCTCCCAGTACCTCAGAAGACCCTCTACTAGATGGCTAACACTAAGCTGAGGTATCTCAGCATCATTCCCCTTGGGAGGCACTTTCTTGTCCTTGGCAGTGCTAAAGCCCGGAGCTCCCCGGAGCAGTCAAAGGATGCCTAAAGCTCCCAGAACAGTCCAAGGATGCCTAGAGTTACAATGCCCTCTAGAGACTTACTCAGGAGTGTTGACCCAGATGATGTCCAAGTGGCAGAAGTAGACACATTCCTTGTCCATCAAAGAGGAACAGGAACAACGCTTGGATCTACGGGGTCTCCAGGATGTGCTAGGAGTGGGGCTCTCCCCTTCATTCTCAGCTCGGGTACTGAGCTCTGCTCCCAAGACGGCTGCAAAGAGAAACAGGGGGGTTGATACCGGTCTCTCCTCAGATGTCCAGAGCACCTGCATCATAGTATTCAGGCCAGATCTAGCAGCGCAAATAGAAGCAGACAAGGCGTTCAACTGCCTTTAGCCAGAAACACAAACAGAAGGAAAGGGCTTTCTTTGTTCTCCATGCTTAATGGGACTTCACCCATTCCCTGCCTGGCTTATCCACCTGCAGGGAGATTACACACACACACACACACACACACACACACACACACACTCACACACACACACACTCACACTCACACACACACACACACACACACACACGGGGAGGAGTGGGCAGCTAGGAAAGGACTTCTTAGGCTTTTGAAGAAGCTTTGAAGGGATACTGTCTGGTGGAATCTTGGGGGAGCCCATGCCTGAGACTTGGGATGGTACAACTCTCATAGGAGTTAAATTGGCTTGTGGCCACAAGTAAGTAAGACAGACTGCTTATTCCCAGCTTTGGGGCCACTTCCCTACTCAAGATAACCTTTCCTTTAGGGGTACCTACTGCTTCCCAGTTTGTGTAGGGACACAGAGTAGTCTAGATGACCTATGAATACCTTTGACACTAGGTAGGAAGCAAGAACTCCCAGAAAATGACCAGACACGGAAGAGAAATTAGCTTTGCAGGGGTCGCTGCCCGTGGAAGACAAGTTGCCAAGGAAGAAAGCAAAGCTACAGCACAGAGACCTAGGGAAGTGCTCTGTGGATTCAGAATTCAGAACTTGGGGGCAGCATGGCTTGCATGGGACATGATACCTCCCTCCCTCTGGCTCAATACAGTATCGTCTCTTTCCATTGAAAATTTAGCCCTGCAGCTTATCTGCCTGATTTTATTCATTTCAAACGATCAGGCACATTCCAGGGTTTTCATCCCTTTGACATCTTTCTCTTTGGTTAGGGTCATGAAAAGACAAAAAAAAAAGTGCACTGACCCTTAAAAAACAGGGGAGAGGAGACAAGCAGATGCGCCCATATACTGTCTAATTCCTTAAGCAGGCAGGAATGATCCCAGCTCCCCTCCCAGGACAGGTGAATACAACTGAAAATAGAGCTCACACTGTTTGAGGATGCCAAAAATCTGCCAAATGAAACCTTAAGTCAATAGTGACAAATTTTAAAGAAAACATGTGCTTCGCCCTGAAACCGCCTGCGGGGTTACTCAGCACACGGTTGATCGGCAGGTGATTTCACTGCTCACATTGTGCTTGCATGACCTGAATAAAATTCCTTGGCTTTAAGCTGGAGTGTTTAAATATTTTACACATTAACACACTATCAAGGCAGCGTTTAAATAAGCTCCTAAATGCACCGTGTAACCCTAAACACACGTATTTCAAATATATCTTTGCCTCAGTTGTAGCTACTCTGCAATATTTGCTACAACGTTATTTTGAAGCTATAGGATATTCTGTTGTAGTCGTTTGTATTTTATTTCTTTCACTAGGACACAGAAGTAATTGCAAGGCACTTGCTGTTCGAGCTGCAGTAATAAAAAGGGGGTGGAAAACAGAAGCGAGAACAGCGCTGCGTTGGAGCAGAAAGATTCGCAAGTGTTGCCTACCTGTTTCTGGAGCTCCTTGGAAAGCCACAAACAGTAGAGAGAAGATCACGGGAAAATAATCCATTCTGCAAAGGAATAAAAAAAAAAGAGGCAAAAAAAAAAAAAAACCTCGATTGCGAATGGAACTCAATGCAAAACGAAGAAGACGGCTTCTGGTCGCTCCGATCGCCTCTGCTAATTGAGATCTCGGCGCGGTCCTCGGCAAGTGGCCTTTTCACCAGAGCAAAAGCGTCGCGGGTAGCCGGGGAGGCGGTGCTTGAGGAAGGCAGCGCAGACCGGGTCAGGCTCGCAGAGCCGGTGCAGGAACGCGTCTGGCTTGGACGGCTCTCGGACGGCTTTTTATATTGAACCCCTATAGAGTGGGGGTAAACAGCTCCGACTTTATTCCAGCCCTAGACAATGTTATTGTGTGATTAGTCACCCACAGGCAACGTGCAGCCGGAGATAAGGCCAGGCTCTAGAGGAAATCACGGCTAACTTCAGAGGCAGACGCCCGCCGTCTGACAATCCAGGGGCAGGGCTAAGCAAAAGAAAACACCCACTAGACAGAGACCTCTGCAAAACCTGCACTGAGCGGCAGCCCGCTTCCCCTTTGCAGGCTGCCAGCCCCAGAGTTCAAGAATCAAGAGGTTCTCCAGGAGAAAAGTCATCCCATTGGAATGAAAAGTATGAAGTACAATTAAATAGATTGTATTGTGAGCGCGGGGGTGGGGGTGGGGGGGAGTGGTGGTCATTGTTCACTTCATTTTCCTTTTATGTCTTTCTGATTTTTAACCGGGATAAACAAGGGGACGCTCACCCTCTTTGCTCCTCACTCGCTGGTACTGGAGGGTCAGATTATTTTGGAAGATTAGCCTACTTTTCCGAGCTCCTCTCTCTCTCTCTCTCTCTCTCTCTCTCTCTCTCTCTCTCTCTCTCTCTCTCTCTCTCTCTCTCTCTCTCTCTCTCTCTCTCTCTCTCTCTCTCACACACACACACACACACACATTCTTTGCATCTTAGGTGAGAAAGACTTCCTAAGGAGTTAGCAAGGAAGGAAAATTAAATAATATAAGAAAAACAACAATAATATGATTTTGTCAGGCGCATCCTTGTTCTCCTGGAATCACTGATTAGAGTGTCCACCCCCCCCACACACACACACTCCACTTCTCACGCGCCGGCCGCATTAAATATTTCTTGTACTCAGTCTCTCCCTGGTTTCTCTGGCAATTGCCAGGCTATCACGACGGATCTTGAGAAATGGCAGTAAATGAACACCAGAGGGCGATGAAGAGCTGCAAGGGCTTGGGTTTTAGGATAAAACAATTAAAGCCTTATGCCTCTAAACAATTAGAAACAAGCTGTGGCTGGGTAGAAGGAAGGATAGAAAAGGGAGCCTCACATACAAAAGAGGGGTGAGTGCGAAGCATTCCATTATTCCCTTCCCTGACTTTCCAGAGTTGCCCCTACCTCCCCCCACCTTTGCTCTTTATTTGGGCAATGGGGTGTTCTGTACATGTTTGGGAAGCTACAAGGATGATGGGGGTAGGGAGGACCTGCCTATGGTAAATAAGTAGATCTGATCACACCTCACCGTTTAATAGCGTGTTTACATTTTCCAAAGAGTTTCCTGTCTATTTTACCATGAAATACTCCCTTCCCCCAGGTGCCCACGGGTTGTTAAGGTACAGGTGACAGCATGCCTTAATGAATACAGCAAAGCACACAGAAGACGTGTAGGCTTTTTCAATAATCTTCACTTTTCAGGTGAGGATAGGGAGGACCCCAGAATGTCCGTAAGCCTGAAACAACACACAGGATCCACTCAAAGTGGTTTCCCTGCAAAGATTAAAGAGGGCTGTGCGGAGCCCTAGGGATGCCGGCAGACAGGCCCCTCCTCCATCTCATCTTGTGCGACTCCAGTTTTCCCTCGGAGTAGATGCCAACAGGGACTCATTTCTAATACTAGACACACATGGCGAGATGGAATGCAACAATCTCTCCACCTCTGCAACCGGAAGGCAGCTGTGATAGCAATATCCAGCCTGTAGACAGGGGCCTACTTAGGCCCCTTGACCTCCCTGAAAATCTCAGCAGGAGAAGCAGCCCTAATGAACTCTGTCCCTTATGAGGCACTGTACTAAGAGCTGGAGAACCAGGAACCAGGAACCCTCCCACACCTACACCTGAGGCCCAGGGCCACTGCCAGGCCTCTACCTCTGCTTTGCTTACCTCAGTCCCAAGCCCCAGGGTATCCAGGAGGTGACAGCTACCCATAGAACTGGGCCCCAACCGGAAGCCAACTCTGCCCACCCCAGCTCCTCAAGAGACCTGGAGGAGAAGAGAACTGATGTCACCTTCCCAAAGTCCAAGCCTCCCACCCACAGGAGAAAGGTAGCTGGGAAATGTGCACTCTCTCAACACCCCTCCCAAGTAACCCCCCACACTCGCGCGCACACACACACACACACACACACACACACACCTTTTCTAACCTCCTGGCCAATTTGGCCAAACACTGGCATATGTCAAGTCCAACCTATCTTGGCTCCATCCCAGAAATGCCCAACCCAGTTCTCAGAGGTATCCTCCAGTGTCTAGCCTGGACCATCCTTCAGTGCAGGAAGCCCCGCAGGTGCTATGGCCCCAGCATCAAGGGGAGACAGGGAGCAAGCAGGAACGGTCCAGGTGTCTTCCTACTGCCCACCCTCCAAGTGTCTATCCAATACCTCCCTGAGCATATCCTCAAAGTAGAAATGTAAACTTGGGCAGACACCCACTCTGATCCTCCTCTTCTAAAGCTCTGTGAAAGCAAATTGTAAATAAAAACAATATATCAGGCCTGAGAAGGTCTCATCCGTCTAGGTGTAATCCTACCTTTTATGTTTTGTCCTGAATTCCCTAGGCCTCTGTGTTTACATACATGTGCACCTATGTCTCTTTTGTGTGTTTGGAACAAAGTGTGAACTCTACCCAGCTGTCCATCTCTGTCCCTCCCAGCAGCCCCTCTTTCCTTCCCATGGACTCCTCATTCAAGGCCAGAGAGGGAAGCTCTAGGCTACTCTAGGCAGCTTCCCAGATAAAAATTTTGCCAAGTATCAAGGGGAGGGGAGGACAGTCCAATCAAACCAGTTTGACAAGCTAGAAGGTCCCACCCACCTCCACTTAAGATATTACTATTAAGGAGGCTAAAAGACCTCAGGAAGGAGCAGACATGGTTGGAGGTTTCATAACTATGAGGGTGCCTTCCCTGGGTCCATCCCACTCTTCAGAGAACTCCCGGGGAAATGTCCCTTTCAGCCCACCACCCTCAAGGAGGGAAAAAAGAGGCAAGGAAGGTGATTTTTCCCTCCCATACAACAGCTCCCTGTTGGCCTTATTGTTCCTGCTGGAGATGTTACCCTTGAATGAGGGAAACTGCTTGATAAAGCTGTTTTTATGTTTTTCTTTCTGTATCTTTGGCTGCATATTAATAGATAGCTATAAATAAAACACCCTGAGCCCCAAATAAAGAAACTACACAGTAGCAGAGTGCATTGTTTTTAGCACTCTTCGACTTTGGTCTTTCTCAACTTTTGCGTAATAAAACTTGCAACTCTGCCAAGCCAATAAATTTGATGTGAGATGTTGCATTTTGTTCAGGGCAGAAAATAGCTGTGCAGTTGCTTGACAATGAATGGAAATGAGCTTATTGTGGACAAGATGAGGCTATGCAGACACTGAGCCTGCTTTAATCCTATGCTGGGGACTGCCCTATAGACCATGCTTTTATGATGACAATCATTGTGCCCATGTCACACTACATGCTTGTGGTAGCTGGGAATGGACAAAGTTTTTTTCTCCCTTTAATCCAAAAACTAATGGTTAATATCCCACAGGAAACTGGACGGCCAGAATCAACTCATCCAATGCATTAAAAATAATGTACAAAGTATGATTTACATTTAGTTTAAAAGCTTGTGTGAGACTTTCTGACTTAGTATTTCTGAAGGTCAGTCACCAGGAAGCCTCTTTCACAGTTTCTTTCTTTCTTCCTTCTCCTTTTTTTTTTGCCACTTCTGGATACTTTGTTTTTAAGAAAATTGTTTTTTTTTTACTTGAATAATTTTAGGAAAGTGTGTTATGTCCTCTGGTACGTGTGTGTGCACACACTCATAGGTGTAGGTAGAGGCTAGAGGTGATACCTGGCATCCTCCTCTATCGCCCTCCACATTATTTGTTTATTTCTTGATACAAGGTCTTTCACTGAACCTGGATCTCACCCTTTTGGCTAGACTGGCTGGACAGCAAGGGCCTGGGACATACCTGTCTCTGACCTTCAGGATGAGTTTCAGACACAAGCCTCCAAGCCTGGCCTCACATGAGTCCTTGAAAATCTGAATTCAGGTCCTCCTGCTTAAAGATCCAAGCACTTTACCCACTGATCCATCTTCCCAGTCCAGAACATTTTATCACACTGTTGTCCTTAGTAATGGATATGGTTTAATGCATAGGGAATATCCAATTGTCATCTATTCATTATGGTTTTAAGAAAAAATGCTCATGCATAAGCCATGGCCCATGACACCAAGGGTGGCATGCTCATCACTCTTAATGATTGCTCTTCCATCGACTGTGATATCACACGGGTCATTAAGGATAAAATTTGTTCCCCCTCTCTGATTCTGTTTTCAAGACAAACAACAAATATCTTCCATCAAAACGCTCACAAGAGTGTACCTCCAAGGAACAGTAGCTCTAGCAGAAATGAGAAAAATGAAATGACTCACATCTAAAGTGTCCCCAGCTAACAGGTCCCCTAGTTTAGTGGCTTTTCACATTGGGGTTTTGTAGTTGCCCTTGAGCTCCCCTGCTGTCCCCATCCTTCTCAAACTTACACGTCCAACACAAGTGCTGACCCTCACATGCACTCAGGCACACACAGTCCTGTGCATGTGAATGGGAACATGGTAATACTACACATGTCACAAAAGACAATGACAGCAGTGTCTACATGCTAGTCTTTTGCTTTCATCTTATGCATGCCCCTTGCAACTAAAGGGACTTTGATACAGAGGACAAGGAGAAAACTATTTAAGTGGGGAGATGAGGCATCACTTCGTTAAGTGGAATGTGGGGGGGGGGTTCAGCAAGTGTTCCTCTGTGTGTCTGAAGGGGGTGTGATGGGGTACAGTTTGTCTTTCCTGAAAACATCAGGACATTTGTGGTGACAGGAAATGGGGGTCTTGAGAGGTGACCACGCTACTCATGGAGCTTAGACCTTTCTCCAGGGAAAAAGATGCTGTACAGCAAAGCTTCCTCCAGTATGCAGCCCCTTCCCGTGGCCTCCTGTTCTCCACCTGCCACTGTGAGGTGAAGCCTCCTTCCTCAGAAGCCTGATAGGTGTTGATGACATGATCTTGGCCTTGCAAACTTTCAAGTCTATGAACCAAATAAAACTGCTTCTTGTAAAGCATACACTCAACTACTGTGTTATAGCAACACAGGAGATGTTGCCA